GACTATTGATACTCGTCTGGTTCTGTGCAGCCCCATCAAGCATTGGCAGCCACTGAATCAGTGGAATTTCATACAAAGTTAACATCCTGGAATATAATTCACAATGATGAGCACCAGTGTATAACAGCCCTCATCTACTTCCCCGTTCCTTAATCTTACAGCGCAAAATTCAGTATTGACAGGTATCCTCACCTGCTACAAAGTAATTCTCAGTTCCTCATTTACCCAAACAATCTTGCAGTCCATTCCAAGTGCTGGGAAAATGATTTATCAAAATGACAGTAACAAAGCACTTAGTTCTAGAAGCTCAAATGTTTACTTTTAAGTAACAATGACAAAAGAAATGTTAGCACTCAAGAAGTCTTTAGAATCCAAAACCTTCACATCCTTTGTAGAAATTCCAGTGCTTTTCCATTACAGGGCATGGTAGAAACTCCTCTTTACATACCATTACTATCTCACTGAATTGAAGAAAATGTGTCAGACTTCCAACTGAGTTGAACTGGACAGAAGAGCCTGTTGAAAATGAATGCAAATGATTACAGAGTGTATATTAGAGTAATGGAAAGCAATCACTAGCACTATTTTCTAGAGAGGTCTTAACAGCTCGTTAGAACCACATAAGTGTTAGAGATCCCTAGGAATCTGTAAGGTGTCCTAGGAATCTTGTAGCATAAGACCTCAGCCATCTTATCTGTATCTCTCACTTGCACCCAGACTTCAGTGAGAAAAGGGCAAAACTACACTTCGTGGTCCTCAGGGTGTCAGTCAACGAATGGTCCTGGCCATTTCCAATTACATAACAGGAAATTGCAGTTGCTCTTCAGCACTGCTTGAATTTCACATATTGTGTTCACGGGGGGGTCAGTTTAGTGTACTTCCTCAAAATTAAGGAGTCCCTCTCACAGGGAATGACCTTCCTACAGCCCCGAAAGGATTGTACAAAAAGGAAGGTGTACACCTGTATACAAGAAATTGCAGGACTGAATAATGGGTATTTGCAATATTTACATGTCTGCTGGACTGAAGCAACTATTGCAACGCATAAACTTAAGGCACTTGTGTCAGTGCAGGAGAAGCTGAACTTCTAGTTTTCACTGTTAAAACCAGTAACAAAGTAACACTATAAAGATTCAGCAGTAAGAAATGTCAGAAGACATTTTCTCCTTAACAGCACAGACTCCAAAAGGCGCTTGGAACTGTAGTTTTCAGAGTTACTTGCTTTTATTCATCTTTCGTCCACACTTTCTCCCTTCGGTACCCTCACACAAAATATCAGAGCTGCTGAGCTGTCACAGCCAGCCCAACACAGAAACTGCCAGCGGGGGCAGAACTGTCACATGTAGCAGATATATCAAGAGAGGGACAGCTGTCATGAAAGTAGGGATGGCCTCTGTTTTTTAAAAACAAACAAACAAACAAACAAACAAAAACCAGTGTTCAGACACTGTTCAAGTGTCTTGAGAAGCAAAACAGGGTAAGTATTTCAGGATTATTAGATCAGTCAAGATAAATCCTTGTCAAAATGCAGAGAAAATATGTCTGAAGTGACACCAGTTGCTCACCTAGCTTGCACTTATTTCTGGGCTACCATGTGCCATCCCAAGAGTTTGTCCTTCTCTGTTACCACAGTCTTCCCATTGTGTCACCTACACCGATTTCAAAATGCAAAATATATTCACTGAACTGACATCATCGGTAGGTCCCAATGCTAAAACAATCAGTGTATCTTGTAGGTATTATTTTAAGTCCATGTCTCGGTGGGGATTTCCCTGCCACGTCCTCATTTCCCAGAGCTCACCAACGAAAGCAGCGAAGTGGTAAATAGCTATGAGAAGCGACAGGTCTGTGTTCAGAAATGCAAATAAGAGCCTTGTGTATGAGGATGTATGTTGTTCCACACCCATGACAACCACAGCAGAACTTCTGACGCCAGTGAGAACAGGATTGCATTTGGTATCTTACACCCTCAGTGCACCTTCGGTATGCTCGTGCCGTAACACAGTGCGTAATGGAACAAAAAGCATGATCTGATGTCTAGGGTACATTTCAGTATCTTGGGCTATAACAAAGATGGGCAGGCTGAACACAAGTCCCACCTGAGAAGTGACATCACAACGCTGCTCACGCAGTCTTTATCGCTTATGAAGCAGCAGTCAGTCACGTCAGAGGAAGTCAACTTACACACTCGCCTAGATGTGATGTTTCAAAGGGCATAAACCGAAATGCTTGGATGGGAAGTCACAAAATCGTTTTAAGGACAACTTCAGGTAAAAATGATCTTAAAAGTAAGTCTGGGAATTTTTTTATAAAATAAACTGGCAGAAACTGAGCTGAAACACTGTCATTAACACTGAGCCTACAGTGACATGACAGGCAAGATTTCAACCTGTTTTGATTTGTTGAAAAAAGCTTTTTCATCCTGAAATGTCCACATTTGTATCTCAGTACAGGAAAATTTCTTGGCAAAGTCTGAAGTTCATTTAACGTCCTGTTTTGAGAGATCATAATTGGAGAAAAGACATTCCTTTCTTACTTTGGAAATGCTCCTCTCAGCACTCTCACGGCCATATTCTAACTTATTTACTAAAAATTCTCAACTCAAGTTTGAAAGTGTAATAAAAATATGACCAAATAAATCTATTGAAATAACTTTTTTCAGCAGTTGATAGTTTTCTTTGTTGATTCCTTTAGGTCTAATTAATGTTTTACCTACTAGATGAAGATTTTGTAGATTAAATATCAGCAGTCTACCATAAATACAACTTTAGCTGAGTGAATAATTAAAATCTCTACTATCTCTAATCTCCACTTTTCAGTAATTTTCAGTAACAGTCAACAGTTAGCAAAAGCACAGTAATTTATACATCCCAAAGCTGTCCTCCTCAGTTTTGGCATCAGTGTTTGATATCAAAGTTTCTATATCTATAGACAATCATTTTTTTCCCAGTAGGGATGGATCAGTGTTTGAACATTTAGTCCCTGTGTTTGTTCCTCCATATTCTGACACAGCTGACTAATGGCCTCCCCATTTCCATTTTTCTTTCTCAATTCTTTTTCCCTTTTCTGTCTCCCTTTACTTACTATTATTTTTAATCTTTTAATACCCACTTTGATGTTTCCTTTCTCCCTTTTGCTGCCTGTTAACTCTCATGCCCTTACAAAAGACCAGCAGCTTACAGGCTGTAAGCAGCAGAGAAAGGCCCTCATGCTGCTATCCAAAACTCATCTTAGTGCCTCGGGTACAGAAGAAAGCTTAGTAAGGTAAGATGCACACAGGCAGGGTCTTTCTCTGCTTTCCTGCCCTTGCTGTCCTGTTAGGTGCTCTCAGTTTTCTGCCATCTTCATGAACTACAAGATAAAGTACCAGTCAGTAACAATAACAGAATGAACTTTTTTTCCATTAATCTGGGGAAAACACATGTTGTCTCTTGGTACTTTTTCCATCCTGCTTGCCAATAGCTTTTCTGTCTTTGTTGGCATCTATTTTAGCCTTATAGTTTTGAAACCATTATAAATGTGTTTCAACTTGTGTTTCCATTTTGTTACAGCCTTACAAGACCTTGTCTCTGTGGCGCTAAGAACCTGAAAATTGCATTTAAGGAGAATTCCCGTTAGTGGCGCAACTATATAAATGTCTGACCAGAATCTCCAGTTGCCTAAAGGTTAGTCACCGAAGACTGACACTTCTGTGCAGAGTCACCATTCTCTGATCATTAAAATAGCCCCTCAAAGATCAGTTTTTAAGAATGGCTATTCCACCAGTATCCTCCTTATTTTTTCCAAGCAAGAAAGCGCTGGAACTATCCAGACATATGGTTAAGCATTTTATAACTATTTTACTTATGTAAATTATTTGTAAAAGGAATTTAAATGCTCTTGCCATTTAAGCAACATATTTGAGTCAATTTACAGGTATCAGTAAATCCAGTTTCAATACTTCTGTAAAACAGGTAAAGATTATTATCACACCTGAGGGAAAGCTGAACTGATTCTCAGTATCTGTGGCAAAGTCACAGGAAATGTTATTCTTCTGACTCAAACAGATCTGGTTCAGTGCAGCTAGTCTAAACGTGGGCTACAGATGCGTAAGCAAAGAGAAGATCTAAGAACAACACACTTAAAGGTGACAGCATTTGATCTAGAGTGCCACAAGGGAGTATTTAGAACAAAAATCTGTCTTAAGAGCTTTCAAGTTTCTTGGGCCTTATCCACGCTCCTCTCAAGAACTCAGAAACAGAGAAGACCAGTCACGATCCAAAAGTCCCAAAAGGCATTGTCCATTCAGAACAAGTAAGGTCTTAGAAATGACAGCCAGCGCCTCGCATAAACAACATTTTTGGATCCTCTGACTCTTCAAAAGGTGGCTACAGAATTGAGGCACACGAATTCTGCCCATGCTAGTGGCAATTTTGAAAATAACTTTTCTTTCAGCTGATCAAGACCTGGTATCTTGGAAAAAGAGATGTCTGTGGATAGACTATCATTGTATCTTGTCAGACAGATCCAGTCTTACAATGCTTCCCTGGTAATTTCTGTCCCCCCCCCCCCCCCCACAACCCTTTGCTTTTCTTCAGGTCTCTCCACAGTTCCTGATTCACTTCATGTGATATAGATCTTAATTCTTTTTTCCTCCTGTGAATGCTGGAGTCCAAGGTCTCCGCCTTTACAAACCGGTCAGTAAGGAGTGATCTTTTTCTAAGAATCAGACATACCATGCCAGTCAGGCACCTGAAGTTAAGGTGTCCATCCCCTAAAGGACACAGGCCAGCAGGGATTTTGGCTAATTGCTTTTTGATCCTCTGTGTCTACCCCCATCCCGATTCTGAAAGTACTTTTCCCCCAATAATTAATTTATCAAGTGATCCTAAATTACGCATGCTGCATTTTTTTCATTGGTAGTTATGACCCTTTGAAAAAAATCGAAGGTTATTCATAACATCTTACAAAATAAATAAATCATTTCAGTTTGGAAGCTACCTAATGGACTGTAATGACCAGATACTTCATAGCACAGCTATAACAGTGCCAGAAGGACTTAGGGAACCTTCTAATAGTCCCTTAGCCTACAGTTCTTTCCTTCACACATCAGACATGACTCACCGTTTGTAGGGTCAGTTCATCATTTGCCTATAACTAGAATTCATATAGCAATAACATGGAACTTAGTTCATACTTCCACAAATAATTTTTCTATTCTGTTGCTTCTAGATAAAATGCATTGTTTGAGAAAGTAACATTCCTTCCTCCACTCAATAAAGAATAGTATTCTTCAGAAGTTCATTCTTTCTTTTTGTCCTCCAGTGAGACTGGCAAAAGCAATGTCATAAAGCAGAAAAAAAGATTAGGTATCTATCTAGAATCATTCTTCTTTGAAAGTATTTCATAACAGTGGCCTTTCTTGTTACACTCTGTATCTGCAAGGAAAAAGGGCTTGCAGGCATGATTACAGATCAAGAATTCATGCCTTTTATTCTAAAGCATCAGTTTCAAGGTTTATGCTGAAATCTCTTTAA